GCGTCCCAAGAGGAAAGTGCCGATGTTGGTGGAAGGTAGGAGAGAAGAGGAGATCAGATGTCGGTAGCGAAAGGAGAAATAGTGATAATAGTAGCTACAAGTTTGTTGTGAAAACTGAACCATTAATCATCATTAAATGCATTTATGTAGTAGGCTTCTGACACTTCTACCGTTGCGCCACTAGGCTTCTGACTGACCACGAATTTCTTTGTTTCTTCCTTTCGTAAAGTCGAAGTACAATAATTTGAGTTCATGATTTTGGATGAACTTAAAAATAGAATATACTCGTTACGTGAACTATATCAGGCCTGCACAACACACACAATGGATGGATGAAATATTTTTCTCATACAACCACAATATTCCTTTCTCTCTGTTTTCTACGTACCAACCATTTTCACTGTCTTTCTGTTATAAATGGGGTATTATTTTTTTTCCCTTTATTTGGATTCAGTTATTCCATTGTTTTGGTTTGATGGTCAGAAACGTTTGAAGTTAGCACTGCACTCGAAATGAATTCATGTAACGAATGGAGGCACATCCACACATGAAATATCAATAGGTAACATCGCTCCAATGACAGACTCTGGACTTGCATGCGGGATGTCCCTACATTCCGTTACATGCCACCACAAATCGCTGTAAACTGTCCACTTTGACAGACAGGGTTATAAACATGATATAAGCTAGCAACATTCCTACACCCAAACCTTTGCTTGCTTCCAAACACCTCACTAAAGAAGTATTAAATTACCCGTAAGTTTTGAAATCACTCGTACCACCAGCAGGTAGATGTCCCTGTAACATGTCACTACAAAAAGGAGAGGCCAAAGTTACCTTAAAATCCCCACATAATACCAACTGGTGCAACTTTAATATTATTATTTTCTAAAAGACCTACTTTAATATTATTATTTTCTCCACATAATACCAACTGGTGCAACTTTAATATTATTATTTTCTAAAAGACCTTAAAATCCCCACATAATATCAACTGGTGCAACTTTAATATTATTATTTTCTAAAAGATTAATGCATTTTAAAATTCCAAGTCGTCATGGTTAAGTCCAAAATACAGAAAATAGTAATACAATATTATTAATAACAAATTTATTTAACTCTGTAAACATCGATCTCCGTACAAACTACATACCTGTTCAATTCCTCTCACCTTACAAGCTGGCACGGCGATGTGTTCATACTGTTATCACAGAAATCTTAAATGTACCAAGTTGGTGTGGTAACGAATGGCGTGATCTATGTTCACGAAGATTAGTTAATATCTAATATCTATTACAATCATTAAAGCAGGGGACGTACGGATACACGCAGCTCGCTAATAATGTTCGTAAGATGGGCCTTACAATCGTGAACAGCAAATCCTTGACGACACAACCGTTGTTTCTTAGAAACGCTAATAATATCTTTCACATCTGAAATATTTTCTCCAGTAAGTTCCGGTCACAGACGTTCCATGTTTTGATCACATACAGTAGCCCCGCCCCCAAATCAATTGGAATAAAGGGAACTGAACTGAAATTAAAATCTCGCTTAAAATGTTAATATACAGATATTCACGTAGATATTATGGACTGCAATATGTTAACGTGGATTTTATCGCAATATCTACAAAACAAGACAAACCAATTAAATCCACTTTAGTTGGATTCCAATTCAACCTTGTTTGTATATCTAGAAATTTGAGGTGTAATTTAGTATATATGAAATTTATTTTGGAAGACAAGAGATCGTGCACATAAACCTCTCCCTCGCTTAAGAACATTTGACAGCGTGGAATAATCTTCTCGCCTTTAATTCTTGGACATTTCTCTGTAACAATTACAAAGAAGCATGAATCGAATTATTCATATTTGTGCAAACCTTAACCACTCCATAAACAAGCGGTTCATATTCCGTCAAACGCACGAAAAAATGAAACAATGTTTACACCACCGATAAACATAAACTTTTATAACTAAATTACTTTGACATTTGCGATGTCATAAAAACTGCAAATACCAGTAATGCATCTGTGCCACGTGGGATAATACCGCATGGAAAAATTAAACACACGTATTTTTATAACGAATTTGCCTCAAAAGAGAAATGGTTGGGATACGAATTGGGAAACGAAAACCATGGCCTAATGCCAAGAGATACCACTAAGAAAGGAAAACATTTCGTTCTAATCATCCACCAGACTCGACATCCAAGAGCTTCCTTCCATCGAGATACGCAATTGTACGTCGTATCGACGCCGTTTTTAATAAAAAAATCTCATTTATATTCTCCAAATATACTCAACAATTTTATTACACCGATTTTCGTTAATTACACTAAAACGAGAAGGTACATGTTCTTGCTGACAGCAAAATATTTATTTATAGCAAAAAAAAAAAATACCGCCCTTCACACTTTGTCATTCGATTTTCGTTAATTACACTAAAACGAGAAGGTACATGTTCTTGCTGACAGCAAAATATTTATTTATAGCAAAAAAAAAAAATACCGCCCTTCACACTTTGTCATTTCTGAGTAGACACACTTCATCTAAGTAAATAATTTCGGGCTGAGTAGGAAAAGCTAACAGTCGCTCTGCTGCCCACGAATTTTTCCGCCTTTTATAAAATACGGATGTTCACTGCTAAGTCCCAGACAGTGGTCACATTTGGAGAACCCACTAGATAGAGCTAATCCCTATCTCCGGTCCAAGAAAAATTTTATTCAATTGACTCTTCACCATCGTCAAGAAGTTTTAGATTTGATATAGTCCTCAATGTGCCTTCTAGGTTGTTTCAAATGGATGACCGACAGTCTTCAATGTGCCTTCTAGGTTGTTTACTCCGTGTAGTGTGGTAGAAGTTCACAGACGTTTCAGAGGTACACAACCCAGAAAACATCCATCTTCATACTCGTCGCTGCCAGAACCTCAAATCTCAAATAAAACATTCATACTTTATAAAATAAAGTAGTTTGAAATCTGAAATTACAGTGTGTTTGTGCTTTACAGCACTGCAGCCAACCTCACAAACCGGCAGGAGTAGTGGCATGTTAAGTAACGCATGCACACACCACCTCACAGGTTTCTGATTTATAAAAGGCAATGGAAGCGGATTTACGAGCGATTAACGCGGACACCACGAGAGGCCGCAGTCGCTGTTGCATTGTGTACCGCAAGCGAGGCGAGCACTCGCTCAGTTCAGCTACATGCATCGCACCGTACGATTTCCGAACGCGCCCCACTTCGCAGCCACAACACTGTACACTCCGTGCCAATCATGAAAGACCGCACACGATTTAACTCGCACGTATTAACAACATCCAATGTTGATTTCAAAGATAGTTCACAAGACGATCAAAATGGCCGTGCAGTCCTCGGTCCGCAAGGTTTTGAGACATCCGAACACTGGATTTTCGAGTTCGAATCCCGCTATGTTAACGGACGTACGTCAAGTTTTCTCTGTGCTGCGCTGTCCTGTGTTGGTACAGGCATTATAACGGGCCGATCCCCCATCCAAACAGTCAATACAGATTCAATAATACGGAATTTGGAATCACGATAGACCACAAGTTGTAATCCGTGGTAGCTGAATATGATTATTATAAACACACAGTATCAACTGCAGATATCTGTAGCAGGTCCTTCGGCCTACTGTATACGTAATTTTCTTTGACATGAATATCAAGTAGGTTATACTAACAACTGGACATGACGCCAAGTTTTTAAAATAAAAAGTGATAGGCATTTGTCAAAAAATAACAAACACGAGAATGTTGAAAATAGTAAATATAATCTAATAATAAAATACGAGTTTGAAAAATGTCTTAATTACTCATTACAAAAACAAGGGCTTGAAAGATAAGATATACTCCCCACATTAGCATTTCGTTCCTCACTCCAAAGTCTTAAAATAACTGCCGAACTTTTGAACGAGCCTTATCTATCACTCACAAGTATGCTTTAAAGCATCTGTACCAACGGGCATAGTAACGAGTTTATAATTATGCTTTTTTTTAAGATTCTGGAATTGTTAATTAAGAAACTAGTACATATTTCTATCAATGGATGCTTAAACAACACTATATAAAATAAGTAATGATCCAGAAATCGAATTAATACAACTTAGTTTATAACAATAAACGATTCTACAAGAAAGTCCCCATTAAACTGTAAACTTGTGAATGAATTATTTTATTTTATTTCCTGATCTTATTGTGTACAATATATTTCTATTTTTTTAAGACTTAACGTAGCTCTCAGTATCTTAGAGCAGTGGCATTCAACCTTTTTTGTTCGCGTACCCCCAGATATAATTTCTCTTCAACTTTGTACCCCCAAAGTTGTTGGTTTATAATTCAAGTTATACATAGTATATAATCTACATCTAAAATAAATTAAATAAATTACATTACTGATTATTCAGTGTTTATCATAAAATAATATACATATATATATATTTTAAATTTCACGTACCCCCTAAGATGTATTCGCGTACCCCAGGTTGAATACCACTGGTTTAGTCCACAACAAACTTATCAAAGTAATTAACAAGTGAAATAAAGTAGTAAGCCTATAAATTAGCAGTCTCATCGGAAGATTTAACAGGGCAAATCAAAATCAATTTCGATTTAACTCAAAATTGATGGCATCAATAGAAAAAATGACTGATATGGCCAATACTGTGAGAAACTTAACTTAGTTTACTATTGAGTGGAAAGATAAAAAGGCAGCGGACGAGTTTTGCTAATGCGCGTTTTGTGTGGACATCGAATGTGAATTGTGTATTAGAGTATCCAAGACAATCAAATAATCAGCAATTATAAAACTGCATCTCATACGAACATAGGCTACAGGAAAAAAGTGCAAGAATGTCTTACGACCCTAATGAAAGCATTTAATTCAGATGGAATAAGTAGCTTATTGGCCACTAGGACACATGCATTAAAATAAAGGCCAATAAAGTATAAAATAACACAGCTCTCTATAATTAAGATGGCTGTCTTGTGGGATGTTGCGCCTTGTAGTCTATAGAAGTTCACCAAAGTTTCGTAGGTCCTTGCTGCCTCCATCATCACGGCGATCGCCCTGATGGTGGACTCACCGCCGTGAAAACTTCAAATCCTACTTAGCCAAATGAGGTGCGTCAGAAAAATCCACTCCGTTATCGATACCTTCCGTAGACGATGGACTTCGCAAACTTCAGTAGATATTTCCAATTTCCTAAAAAAATTTTGGAAACACGATCCTAAGTAGAACGGCACTGCGGTAGCGCATAAAGCATATGAATTAAGTAACTGGTTCGAATCCCTACAAAGCCCGGGCTGCCCTAAAGGACTTTGTTACCTTCCTCAGACTCTCGAAGTGAATACGTGTATTTTACTTTCAAATAAGCCATGCGCGCATACTCACACATCAGTCCCGATCAATCATTAAAACCCTCCTTACCATATATCATTCGAAGTAGCCTCAGTAATTGATACAATAAACAAAAACAGACAAAAGCTGGTATTAACATAGAAAATATTTCTAATTCAGGCATGTCTCTGTGGTGATCAAATGAAGGGAATTGACACCAAAACACTGCACTAATTAAATTATCCACCAAAAACTAGGGGTTTCCACTTAGAGGAGGGTGTCCACTAGACTGGGTCTGAATCACGTGCCGTTGTGTTCTCTGAATACGAAGTACTGTCAAGTTCTGTTTAGGGGCGACATATGAACAATTAGGAACTGTCGCCCGCGAGATATCACAGGATGAACCCAGTGGTTAGAGCGATTCTGATACCAACAGGAAACAAATTTTAGAGAACGGAACGAGACAATGTCGAAGAATGCTAACATCAGTACGCACACATCCACACATACATTTATTTGCGTAGATATAAAGCCCGGAAATTTAATTAAACCATTCACTACAGCAGATATTTGCAAGTCAAAATAGGCGCACAAAATCGTTATATATTTACATACACATGCAATATATGCATACAAAACAGTAAATATGTATACATTTCTTGTGTGCGTAATAAAAACACACAGGCGTAATGAAAGTTTCAATTACTGAACAAATAATTTGCAGCCCATTTTTTTCGAATTTGATGTTCTCACGGCACTGATAACATCGACGTTGGTCTTCTGGGTTGTAACAACATGTGAACCTATAGATAGTTACCAAAGTTTCGGAGGAATATTCTGCCACCATCCCGAGGGATGAAATTGTAGGAAGATACCAACGTATCCCCGACTTTCATGACGATTTGCTCCGTAGGCTCTATTTCACAGGAATTGTCATTACAAATTTTACTTTTGGGCCATAATCGCAAAATACTCCATAATTTGTCAATACTGTTACAGGAACTTACATACTTTCATCATAAACACATTTTGAAAATGGACAAAACAAACCGACTAAATAGGAGTTGCTTCCAAAGGTTCAATTATGCAAAATGATATCTGTAAGCGCTTACCACACGCTTTGGCGGTTCGAACGAAAGGAATAGGCCACGCTTCTAATTGGAGATCAGGGGGTGAACCAACTCCAAGACGCAGAGCCCTTCTCAAACAGGTAACTCACCCCGACTGTCAAGATATTCAATGTATTTATGGTACTTACAGTTTCGTTAAGATCCACTAAGGGAACCTGCACTGAGCCACGGCAATTCAGTCTACACACTCGTGCCCTACTTCTTTAAGATAAATTTCAAAATTGTCCTCCTAGGTGTCCCAAAGAGACCTCTCATATTTAGACCCCCGTAATAAAATTTTGTATATAAGCATAATAAAATGTCGGATGAAGATTTCTGTCTTTTGGTTTGTTACGCCGTGTAGTCTGGTCGATGTTTACCAACGTTTCAGAGGTCATACTGCCTCCGTCTTCAGGGTGATTTGTTACGCCCTGATGACGGAGGCTTAACTTTTGGTTAAACCAATTAAGAACTACTTCTGAACAACACATACAACGTCGACTCCTTTTCAAAAATTAAACTCAGGCGCTACAGTACACTTGGACTACAAAACGACGTTTAAAGGAGCTGTAATTCTGGACTATGAATTTTTTATATTTATAATTTCTCCCCAAATAATATTAGGGCATTCCAATTAAGAAAGTGTAGGTGGGCTGGCCACAAAGCACTATTTTGAAAAGACCCAACAGAATGAAAGCAAAATAAGGATGAACAAAGCAGGAAAAAGCGAAGCTTATAAATTTTAAATGTTCACCAAATATTACTTAAGTGATCACGTCAATGAAGAAGAGGCTGGCGAAATATGTAGTAGGCTGAGCATCTGGGACGTAAGAAATGCTACATAATTTTACTAAATTATAATAAACGTAGTCATAATGGAAAAGTTTGCTAAAATGATGAGGAATGACAATTACACAAAACACGAAAGTATTGCATTTATAAACGGGCTCATCTGATAACAGTGCAGATAGCAAATCACAAGCACCATGCATCACCAGCGAGTTACTTGCATCCGTACAGTATCAGGCATTACAAAATAAACTAGGAAGTTGTCAGTGATGCAGATACAACCATTAACATAAACCCTATCAAAAACATTCAGGGATTCAAATATAATATCTGTTCCTGACTACACATCATATACCTTATGACACAGAATGATTTTCAAAATAATAAAATTACGTTATACAAATATTCATTAACATTTTGGTCAATAAATGTACATACATAATTATACTTTTGGGTTGTTTCTACATCGCTACATCCCTACACTGAACACAGTATATCCAAGATAAAAAGGATAATGTACTCGAACTGTGAATTATTTCAGCCACGCACATTGTAATGTACACAACGTTACTAATGCACACAAGAGAAACAACCATGGTGCTAATGTCAACGCCAAGTTTAACAGCGAAGTGTGACATAATTGAACAGCTACAAGTTGTCGAGTTCCATGCCAGAAAGAGGAAATGTCGAACACACGAACAGAGAGAAAGTTTCGAAGTAAAAGTACGGGAGAGGTTGAACAGAAATCTGCCCGAGAGCGATTGCAGGGCATCAACACAGAAACTCGTTCACGGCTCACCGTTCGTACATACTGCGTCACCATATTCACGCTACGCTGTAGCCAGAAGCGCCATGGTTTACTTTGCGTCGTCTGCGATGGGGGCCTCAGAATATCCTCTGTACAAACATCTCTCCAGCTCTCTTCTTATTTATTCGGGTCTCTAGAGTAGTGAAGGAACGCCCGTTTCTAGACGTGTGCTATAGCGCAAAGGCGCCTTTCCATCCACAGAAACAAAGACGCTGAGATGGGCGTTTGGCTTGTTTCAACAGGACACAGTTCATCGAAAGCTATACGGACCATATAATTTACAATTAACTAACTCGGCATTTTGTCCACGTGTATTTTTATAGGCGTCTGCTCTAACAGCACAACATGAACACAAAATTTATAACAGCAGTTTCCTCTCGAAATTAAATCTGGCACTGGATGATCTGTACGAGAAGGTTTCCGGCGAATTTCATGTTTATCTATGTTCGATCGATGCAGAATGTAAACCCTATATTAATGTTAATTATTTTATTACATTTTTATGCTGGACTGAATTTCTACAGAACACGAGCAAATGGGTGAAAATTTACATTGCCAAAAGCGGTTTAAAAAATTACAGATAGTATTTTTCGCTAATATGTAAAAAGAGTATTCCAATTAGAACAAAATTCAAAGCGCTGTGAAAACTTTTGCAAAAAAGTTTAAAGTGAAACATATCGTCATTTAATTCTTCAGCCTTATTCTTAATATGTTCTTCGGTTATTTAACGACGCTGTTTTAACTGCCGAATCAAATCACATGAAAACATCATTGTGAGAAGCAATAGCAGGAGTTGAAGGTAAATAAATATACTGGCATTTGCGTGGAGTGACCTACGAGAATTAATGCCGATTGTCTAATTGGTAGTTTTCGGGTGCCAAATACAGAGTTTGTTCAGCGTGCCCAATGAGGAGCCAAAACCACACATTTTGAGTGCTCCAAATTTATAAGGAGAAAATACGTGGCAAATTTCTAGTCGATTTTCAGGTAATATGTTTGAAATCTGTCAGGATACGTGGCATCTCTGCCAACATTCCAAAAGAAAGTAAGTCTACAGCATGGATGATCAATTCTGATACGGATATTTGGCAGTGATCAAGGGTCAGAGAGTCTCACGAGAAAAACTGTAACATGCCAGTATATAGTCTATACCAGATTACAAGAACATACGATAATATTCAGAAGTCTGCTTGGTGTTTGATAGATGTCCCTTTCATTAGGCTATTAATAAGGTATCTGAACAATGCCGAGGACGTATTCTCATAAGCAATAAAATATGCTTAAGTACATTAATCTTAACGTTGGTCAAATGACACATTACAGAAATTACGGTCAGTTACGGCAAAATGCACAAACTAATCATCACACAGCATCAAAATGAAGGTTACACTGTACTGTTCGAATGCGATATGAGGTGAATAAGTGTTACAAAAATGCACACGAACAGAACAGAAATGCCAACAACATGGTTTTTATTAATAAGCCTTCTTAAAGGTCACTGTGAAAAGGTTATGGTTTCTGTCGCAGTCAGTGTAGGCCACAAAACAGTCGCCCTTCAGTTATTTAGGTTGAAGCTCAAACACAAATCGTATTACTAAGACAGTTCTACAGTTATTAACTGACGTCAATAAGAAGCTGAGCTTATCACAATGTTCGGCATGTGACCCGAAGACGGACAGCAATACTTCAGTCATCCCAGCATGCCTGGATCAATCCCCAATTTTCACATAAAAAGTGTATTTTCAGTGCGTTTATATAAGTTTAAGGCAGGCACCACTGTTTTGGTTTTAATTTTTTGGTATATTTTTTTGTAAAAATACTCCGACCTTTGGCAAATATTAAGGATTACCTAACGGTTAACACTTTGAAGCATGAAATTCATCTAAAGAAGACCGGGCAGGAATACACAGAATATACACATGCGTTCTTTGCACATTTGTATTCTAAATGTTCCTAGTTGACATAGCAAAATATACTGCATCATACACATATGCCCACGCAAGGGTTACCATAATCAGTAAAGTAAAGTTTGTCCCACTATACGCCATGTAGGCGCTTGAGGGGAGTGGAGGGATAGCTCCTCCCTTCCTTGACCCCGGCACTAGATGGGGGTGAGTGGTCAGCATCACGCCCCGGCCGGCTTTACCCCCGGGAAAGGACCCCGGTACCCATTGTAGAGGAGGCTGGGTGGGCCCCAGAGCCGGTCTGGACGCAGAGGCTAGAGGAAAAATCCTCTGCTCCCGTCGGGGATCGAACCCCGGCCGTCCAGCCCGTAGCTAGTCACTATACTGACTGAGCTATCCCGGCTCATACCATAATCAGTATCGTCCACAAAAGTCCTGCAATAGATCGCAGACGATGTAAAAACATGAGCGTTATATTTTCAGTGATTTGTTCATTAACTCTTACCCACGTTTTCAAAAGTAACTGGCGAGAAATGCAAACTGGTTTACGTAATTTACACCATTATCAGTATTAACATAACTGAAATGTATGAAAATAAGTTTTGAACGTCGCTTTCTTTCTTCACCGTTGATGTATTTATTTATAAGCAATTTACTATAGACAGAACCGCATAATTTAAAATACAGGCTCTTCACTGTGTACAAATTACAAACGAAATCAGTAACCTTAAATTCAACACAGCCTACGATATGTGTTGAAATGTCTCTTATCCTGTTAACTATAACGAAAAAGTATTCACAAAACAAAATGTTAGTATCTTACTTAACTTTAAGTTCTAACTTTACAAATCACGTGTTCTTAGTGCCTAAGTATTGCTAATCTGGAACTATAAAATATAAACGCGAATGGGGAACAGGTACAACAGTTATTCCACCATGGAAATGTGAAAGCCTGTCTTTCTTAATTTTTATTAAGAATGTATGAAGGGCTGAGACAGAAACAAATTGTTATTTAAACGTCTTCAGCTGGAATCCAATTTTCACAATCATCTTATCAGCAGCTCACGACACTAATGTATTGCATTCTAAGTGGATTAGAATCCAAACTTCCTTCGTGGGGTTTGGAGCTTCCTTGAAATAGGCAACAGGACACTATTTAGGAAGCAAACGGCTATCATGATCTCCTAGCTACGGGCAGTGGAATAAATTAAATCAGTTAAGTTCCGGTCCGTCGCAAATGAGCCCACAGCACCATTCGCTTGTGGTCGGCCAAATCTGTTTGTAATGCGACCAGAGCTAAAGTAACTCAGTTGGGTTATACCCACGAAATGTAAGCTGCTCTTAGTAGATTGAGTACAGCGCCGATTATCTGGGGCCCAATTATCCGTGGTCTGAGGCATTATTCTCAACACGCAAATCAAAATAGGCCAAGAAAAACTACGGGCTTTCTGACTGTGCAAAATAACTATAAGAAAGAACGTTTAGTATTTTTATATGCATTTTGTGATGTGCGGCTGACTACTCACCCCCATCTAGTGACGAGTTTAAGAATGAGTAGGAGATACACTACCACTCCCCCCAAGCGCATACATGGCGTATAGTCGGCCAACTTTATTGTACTTTACTTTTGTGAAATGTTTACGTATATTTCAATTCAATTCATTTATGCACAATACGAAAGGACCTATTATTCTTAAATTGTAGCAACCGTGTTATTCGATTATCTGGGCCTTTGCTTCTAATTACCACGGACAATCGGCGCTCTACTGTACTCATGTTTTCACCGCCATGTTTTATGTGAGAGGTAAACACGTGCTCTTATATTCGTACCGATATATTATGTAAAAACCGATGATGGGCTAGATATGTAGCATGGATGGAAAAAAGTGAATGCACACATTTCCCAGAAAATCTAAAGGAAAGAAATCGCCTGAAAGATTACGAGTAAAGTGAATAATAATATTAATATGGACCTTAAACATGGACTGGATTAATCTGGCTAAGGATAGGGTCCAGTGACAGGCTCTTGTAAACGCGGTAATAATCATTCGGGTTGTATTAAAGGCAATTAATTTATTGTAGGTTTGGTTTGAACACATTTTAATCAGCCTGACTAGTTTCTTAAGCAAACAGAATCCAAGGAGAATGTGCATACATCTCTGCTAATGAAATCAAAGATTTTCTCAAAATCTACAAAAAAAAATACGCAATGTTCTCTAATGTAACTATGATGGTTAAATCACGTAGGATACGATGCATGAATAAGTTATCAAACATTTTTAAAATGTTACTTTCAGTATCTACAGAAATTATACTACTTGCAAGATCTAGATATAGAGGCGGATAATATTAAAATGTATGTGGCGGTTTCGGAAAGAGATAAAAAAGGGATCAAGCTACATGAGATCTAGACATATACAGAACGATAATATTAAAATTAATTTTACAAAATTAAATTGTGGTGGTTATGGAACCAGGATTCACGTGGCTTATAATATGGGCCAATGACAGTTTTCTGTAAACATGGTGACAGGTTTTCGTGCCCCAGAAACGCAGAAAATGTACCGACTAAATCCGTGTTAACTTTCCATGGGCGAACCTGCACCTTGCTGTTACATTTCAGTAATATCGCATGAGAATGTTACTTTCTATAAGCACCGTAACTCATTAAAAAGCTTAGACATTTTCTCAAACATTCCAGTAATTATTTAAAATATTTTACTTTGTGTCGAATTGTCACAGTATGCTTCACGAAGGAATAGTAGTGACAGAATTTTCAAGACCTGTTCGCACAATCGTTCTCTAAGGAGACACTTTTATTACACCAATTTTATTATGTGTAAAATTGTATTAAATTGCTGCCTGTGATAGAGTAAACAACGTATTTCGGGAGTCGCCCCATTTCGTGTCTGTAGGCAATTGTCATCGGACAGTCTAGTCCTTGTCTCAAACCAACCAAAAAGTTAACTACGGGCGGAGTCCTGCGCAAGCTCAAAACATCGTCCCTTTCCAGGTAACACCATTCCTGCGTCGGAAAGGCACTGCTGGAAATGATTAACTGTAACGAGTAGGGTGGAGGGGAAGTTCTTGTGCTACTGGGATTTTTGTCGTGCTGGAAGGCCTTTACTTCTTCAAACTAGGGGCTATTGCTACTGGTGGGATATTATCCCATCCTGTGTGAAAAAAGATTTTGGTTGGATGGCTTTCTTGGATGAGAACTCAAAAGTCTTCGAATCGCTTTGGCTGATGGCCTCTACAACTTGGGGGGAGGATCACTTCCCGTGAAGGCCTCCATTACCGGGGAAGGCGGGCCATGCCCCTTTTAAATTATATACTGGAATTTGCCTTACAACCCCGGAGAACCTCAGTTAGAGCACATTCCTTGCCTCACCGAAGAACTATCCAGATACAAATAAGAAGAAGGGGCAATGACCTTCCGGTCACCATACGATTGGAAGGAAGCCAATGTGCATATGTCAACCTTGTGTGCATTCACAAGAAATATTACCATAATTCAATTGTCATATTTCTGTCATTTTTGTAAGATTTGAGGTTTTCACAGCGTGAGTATGAAGATTTCTGTCTTCTGGGTTGTTGCGCTGTGTGGTCTGGTCGATTTTTATCAACGTTTCAGAGGTCATACTGCCTCCGTCATCAGGGCGATGAGTATGAAAATATCTGTCTTCTGGGTTGTTGCGCTGTGTATTCTGGTCGATGTTTACCAACGTTTCTGAGGTCATACTGCCTCCGTTATCAGGGCGATGAATATGCCAATAGGGTGTGTGCCATATTCATCGCCCTGATGACGGAGGCAATATGACCTCTGAAACGTTGGTTAACATCGACCAGACCACACAGCGCAACAAACAACCCAGAAGACTGAAATCTTCTTCTGTCATTTTCTTTGCCAGAGGATTATACAACCCATCTAAGAACGTTTTCTAAACTTTTTATGAATTTATTAACCCCCCATGATTTAATTGTAAGCATCCGGACAAATCACACGTTAACAGTTAACGAAGACGCAAAGAAGCGCTGGATAAATGTAAGTGTCCCTTCTAAATGTTAAGCACGTGTAAGTTCCCATCTACCAATCCCGTGGCGTGACTGGTGGCAAATTCTCCACCACTCCGTTTACATCAGGATCGTTTTGGGGAGAGAACAATGTTTCTATTACTTTTATAATTTTCAATGTTGGAATCTAACCCGGGACCTTTCAAATACGACGCAACTTTGACACCACTATACCACCGCGAATACGCCTGGACGTTTACATTATTTCGCTGTATGTAGGCTTTCAGTGCACTGCACCCCACGCAAATGAAGCTAATAACAGGCTAACACGCTGTAACTCGCATGACAGCAAACTGGCTCTGACAGTTACAATATCACCTTCATTTAGATTGCAGAGTTCCAGCTACCTTTGTTGATGAGCGAACAAGCATTCGAATAGAGGAGTCAGGCTTCTTTGTTTCCAGCGTTTTCCAACTACACAACCTAACACGTGTAAAATGCGATGTAGATTACATTTGTGTCATTTACGAAGGTAAAAGACAGATTTTAATTACCTCGGAAGTGGTCTTTGAGGTGTACTTGAAGATAATGTTTCGAACAGCATACTAATCTCAGGTTGTAGAGGTCATGTTGCTTCAGACAACACACATCTCTGTTGGAACATGCACAAAAAATACACAGACTAGCGATTCACAGGGATTATAAAGAGCGGTCACCATCCATCTTGATGAATAATGCAAACATGTCAGAAGCAACACGCTCAAAGGCATTTGTTAGAATTTTCTTCCAAGACTTGGGCATTTGTTTTTTTATATACTGAATAAACTGCGTTCCTTATGTTTCGTACATGTCCAATAATTGAAACTCATTCTATACTTTGGGAATAATTACATAAAAATAAATTTAATACTAAATTTGTTCAGGTTAAAGATAGTACAATAACTGCAATTTGTTGCTTTAGATTCGATAGTGAACAAATTACCATTTAAATTTTCCTGCGTCATCTACATTTATATATATTCCCTAAAATCCTAATGATTAAAATATACAAGCATATAATTTTACCTATTTATTTTATTTGTAGTGTTCTGTCTGACGACAGGTCCATATGAACAGGATCCTTCCATCCTTTTCTCGGACTGGGACCTGTTCATATACGTTCTTGGCAGATGATCCAGAAGTGGTTTGCCATTGCCTTCTTCTGTGTGTGAATGGAGTAATTGTTGGGATGCCACGGAGAAACCGGGGAAGCCCCCGGAGGAAAACTCCGTGATGCCTAGACCACGGCCTTGCCCAACACAAGTTATAAATTTGAGCACCACCGGGAATTGAACCCGGAACCCCAGGCTTACGAGGCTAGTGTTCTGACCGCTAGACCACCGTGGCGAATTTTACCTATATCATATATAAACACACGCGCACGTTTGAAATTTAGTCCCTCGCCCTATTGCAACTACACATATCAGGGATGCTAGAGAAAAAAGAAATGCAGAGGAGAATTCTGAAACTAAGAGAGAGAAGTCGACAGCAGGAAAGGGAAGATTAGACAACAGAAGCTTCAGTTTTTGTTCTACACCAAATACTATTAGAGTGATAAAATCAAGGGTAATCAAATGGGCGGGAAGCAGGGGAGTTCGTATAAAATTGCATTCGAAAAACCTTACGATAAGAGACCACTGGACGTAGGCGTATATGAAAGGGTCATATATAAAAAAGACGGGACAGTGCAGACTAACGTCAACTGCTCACGATAGCAATGACTGCAGATTCAAGTGAGCACAGCAATGGACTCAGGCGATCCACAATAGTCGGGGAATTTCTTGACCAGATGAACGACTATTAGATTCTAAACAAGGGTTTTCTTCCGTAGACTTTTGAGTGAAGAGATGTTTCTGATAGGCAGCAGTTCTTCCAGCGAGTGGAAATTCAAAAGCACACATGTCGGAAGCATCTCGTAACATGGAAGAGAACAAGACGACGTGTGGGATGACTGGTCAGAATGACTACATGACTAGTAGCTCCCGACAGTTTTCATGATTTTCTTATTCTACCATGCCAACCTCGGGGAAGTTCATTTCAAAAAACTATAACAGCTGCCTTACAAATACTTCAATATCGTCCGACTAGTCATGAAAACTATGTAAACTGGATCCATTTTAATTTTAGCCCATGTAATTTGTTTATTTTAACCTTAAGCTTCACATAATTATGCTACTGTATCTGTGATTTCTTCCCAAAAAATGACTAATATAACAAACTATGTTATATTAATGTATTTTATATGTACCTGAAGATCAAGGCAGAAAAATACAGCTTCGTTAATAATTTTGCACTTACATTTTAGTTGTGTTAAACTATAAGATCATATTTGTGTGTGACGGAAATATTACAATTCATAATGAACGCTGTCAGTGTTATCTAACTACGAAATTGAACATCATCGTCTAATAACCTAAGAATTAATCAAGTACGGAACACAATTAAACAAAATAATACAGGTATGATTTATTTGTGTCAAAACCTGGAAGAAACTGTAGGTTAAGCCATACTTCATTAAATTTTTTTAAAAAAGTTAAACAAGGTTAGTCTAATTCCAATTTCTAATATTCTGATATACACAAATTTAAAAGTAAAACACACGTGGCTAAGCCCGTCTGTATCTAAAAACTGAGGGCCGTAGTACATTTGTTATTACACATTCTCCAACTTTGTGGATCAGCCCATTGTTTCTACCAGTTCTTCAAAAAATGTGCGAAATACAAGAGTTATGGCTGCTTCGAAAACAATGTACGGTCAGAAGTCCTGTTAAAAATGAGGTAAAAGTGTTTCCTAGCGGTATTCGAGCACACTCTCTGCGCGCCAATCAGATAGGACCACTCAACACTGGGCACGTGGAACGCCTGTCAACGTTCAGCACAAAAAATGCGCGTGCAGCAAAATCAGGCTTCAAAAGCTTGTGACAGATAAATTAAATAAGAAATGGAAACAATATCATAATAAAAGTATCACAGAATAAAGATAAATAAACTGTCCCGAAAGATGTCTGTGACGCTTGGGTTTCGTATTTCTTATCACCGTGATATTTTGATTCGTGAACTTCTGGTGTGAATCAAACTGTGACGTAAGTGGATGATAACATTTATGAACTGCAAATGAAAAGACTGTTTAATCCATAATCTGCACACTGTTAAAGCAAATATAATATAATATAATACTGTGTTCCTATTAAGCTTGATAATTTCTCATTTTGTTTAGTTTTCCTGTTAACAAACTTTTGTAAGCAATCGCAATCAGTATTGAACCATGCCTGGTCGGATACGCTAGTACTTCTAGACACCTCCAGACACATCAACGTGTCTACACTCTCATCTTTGGTATGTTTAATTTTACTTTCCAATTATATAATTATTTTTTCATTTTGTTTTCTATATTCTCTCATATTCATTAGTGTTTCTTTGAATCATTTGCTTTGCAGGCCGATGTAGAACATCAAAAGCATTTCACTTCAAAACAATACATTTGCTCCAATATATGAAAATAATTTGGATATGAACATCACCAGAAAACATCACCAAAAAGCTACACAACAGAAATTGTAATTGAGTTTTAAGTTTGTTGATATAATTTTACACCTGAAGATGGTTTGATGAAACCGAAACATGTTGTAAAAATGTTCCAAATGTAAATCGATTATTCGATGTGGAACATAAAATGATATTTTAATTATCTTATTTGTAAATTTTAAATATAATTGTGATTAGACGGACAAAACCGAATAATTAATCGGACTATCTATTGGTAAAGACAGGTGATATAATCTGTTGGCGGAATAAGTATTTATATGGCCTGTTTTGTTCAAATTCTTTTCGTGAAATTCGACAGAATTTATTTGCAGATAATACAAACAATACTGACTGGAGATTCCATAAAAGCCGTTCACGCGATACCTCGGTTCTTACAGGCAGTCAGAAAATCGGTACGTTAACACAAAAGCGTACATGAGTCACGTTACTAGAGTTCAAAATTTCTCACGTCCGTTGATACACCATCGACTAATCGAGAATTATGTGACCTACTTACTGCATCCAATAAATCTCTCACACGTACAGCGAAACAAGCTTACTCTAATGGCAATATTATCAATTATGGTGACCTGTTACAGAACGGGAAAATTTTATTTTTTAACTTATAAGTTCGTCTCGCAACTGGAAAAAATGAACATGCCAATAGAAAGAGTAATAGTAGAATGCAATGAAAGATGATAAGCCTACATCAAGGTAAAGATATTACTCCTGTGCTTAAACACTAAGCCATAAATAATGATGTGTGGGGAAGTGGAGGTTAAGCTTCACGCAACCTTACCTAAGCACCAGACGGAGGTGAACTCAGTTTCACGCTCCGGAAGCTCTAGTTCCGGTCCCCCTTGGATGGAGGCCGGAGGGGGTTTGGACACGGTGGCACAGGAAAAGGGAATCGAACAACGGACTGTCAGTCCATAGCAAATGACTTTACTGAATTATTCCGGTCTTTCGGCAAGGCAACCTACTACGGAAACAATATACATGGAAGTTTACTGTCATCTAATGGTAAAAATACGGAAATTTAGGAAGTTACTAAGGAATGCCACGAAAAATCTACCAAGAAAGCCTGTCTCAGAGATGAAAACACGGTCCTCCATAGTTCTAAGATCATGGAATTCGAGTCCAAGTTTTCAGCCACACTTTTGCCTTAAGCGGATTGGCAATAAACCTACAAACCAGCAAAGCATATCATGAAAGCACTGCCATCTGCAGTGGGAAAAAATAACACGAACTTCCAAGGATGCTAGTTCGGCTTCTCTGCGTGCACACTTTGTATAACAAAAATTAAACTCTTACGATTTTGTAAGACCGAACCTGAAAGTCATGTGAACTCACAGCTGGCGTCATAATTCCAATCATCCGCAATTTCCTTGTCTCTCCCCACACGTAACTTTTCTCTGCCTGCCACTGAATCTAGTTGTTTACACCAGGAGTCTATTCTGCAAAGGCACAACCCAAAATGTCTGCCTAATTTGAGGAAAAAACATGCATTAATTTTAATTACATCTGAAAAACCAGTGATTAGGTCTAGCTGATAAACGAAGGTAAAGCCTGTTTTTCGGTTGCGCGCCCATATTCGCTCACAGAAAAAAGATCGAACGTTAATGTGAAGCTAAGCATGGGAGTTCGAGCCGATTTTTAAACATATTTTAATGCAGGTCTCTTAATCGCACAAATACTCATTTGAATGCTGCAAATGTAGGTCATTCAATGTGATGTTTCAGTATTTCCATGTGGCACTCAACAAGATAAAATGGAAATGGATTGTGATATTTGAAAGAGAATGTGTAATAGCCATGTGTCTATAAAACATACGCAGTCCAATAGCTTTTGTTTATGAGCAAAAAACAGTCATTATTATCGTCCACATTTTCGCTGTGTTATTTGGTGAGGCCAGATTTACGAGGGACTCATATATTTATTTTATTTCTCGTGATTTGTTTTTCTATATTCTGCTTTTTAATACCGCACTTAGAAGAGTCACAGGGATCTACTCCATCGTTAAGGGTGTAGAGTTGGAAGATGGCTGTCTTCTGGTTGTTGCGCCGTGTAGTCTAGTAGAAGTTTACAGACGTTTCAGAGGCGTTTGATGCCTGTTGTCATCGCCCTGATGATTGAAGCAGCAAGCACCTCTGGAACGTCGGCGACCTTCTACCAGACTAACCGACGC